CAGAACCTACAAAGAACTCAACCAAATTTACAAGAAAAAAACAAACAACCCCATCAAAAAGTGGGCAAAGGATATGAACAGACATTTCTCAAAAGGTGTAGTCTTTTTCTTAGAGTATAAAAGCAGTGATCAAGTCAGCATGGCCGACTACTAAACTGCTAAATTTCCAGGGATACATGTCGTAACATCTTCTAGCTACCCTATTGAATGAAGGGGTTTCACTACAGACAAATAGGGGGTCATTGATCAATTACCTTTGGAAAAACCAAAAGCACAAACTTGAACTATTTCAGAAATCTATAAAGTTTTCTTTTTCAAAACAATTCAGAGCAGTAGTTCTTAAACAGAGCTGAGTATCAAAATCATCTAAGACAGTTTTAAATACAGACTTTATTGACTCAACCCAGAAATTTTGATTCATGGTTCTGAGAGCAGTTCTCAGATGTGTTTATGTTTTTAAAACTTCTGAATTAATTTTGATGTTTACGTCCAGTTACGAATTACTGGACTAGATATTTTATTGCTCAGTGTCTCCAAAGTTCTTTCTAAATAAGTATGTCAGTTGTTATTTAATGACGAGTGTGTGTCAGGTTTTGTGCTAGGCACTAGAGCTTTACTTTAGAAAATGAAAATAGATTTGCATCATATATAAATACATTTTATTGACAAAGGGCTAATATCCAGAACCTACAAAGAACTCAAACAAATTTACAAGAAAAAAACAAACAACCCCATCAAAAAGTGGGCAAAGGATATGAACAGACATTTCTCAAAAGAAGACATTCATATAGCCAACAGACACATGAAAAAATGCTCATCATCACTAACCATCAGAGAAATGCAAATCAAAACCACAATGAGATACCATCTCACACCAGTTAGGATGGCAATCATTAAAAAGTCAAGAAACAACAGGTGCTGGAGAGGATGTGGAAAAATAGGAACACTTTTACACTGATGGTGGGATTGTAAACTAGTTCAACCATTGTGGAAAACAGTATGGCGATTCCTCAAGGATCTAGAACTAGAAATACCATATGACCCAGCCATCGTGTTACTGGGTATATACCCAAAGGATTATAAATCATGCTGCTATAGACACATGCACACGTATGTTTATTGCGACACTATTCACAATAGCAAAGACTTGGAATCAACCCAAATGTCCATCAGTGACAGACTGGATTAAGAAAATGTGGCACATATACACCATGGAATACTATGCAGCCATAAAAAAGGATGAGTTTGTGTCCTTTGTAGGGACATGGATGCAGCTAGAAACCATCATTCTCAGCAAACTATTGCAAGAACAGAAAACCAAACACTGCGTGTTCTCACTCATAGGTGGGAATTGAACAATGAGATCACTTGGACATGGGAAGGGGAACATCACACACTGGGACCTATTATGGGGAGGGGGGAGGGGGAAGGGATGGCATTGGGAGTTATACCTGATGTAAATGACGAGTTGATGGGTGCTGACGAGTTGATGGGTGCAGCACACCAACATGGCACATGTATACGTATGTAACAAACCTGCACGTTGTGCACATGTACCCTAGAACTTAAAGTATAATAATGAAAAAATAAATAAATAAAAATATAGAACACTAAAAAGAAAATAAATAAAATAAAAAATACATTTTATCATTTTGACTTATTTTTGTTTTGTGTTTTAATACCTGATGATTTAGGTAAGTCAAAAAAGTAAAGCCCTAAGGCAGGGGTGTGTAATCATTCAGCTTCCCTGGACCATATTAGAAGAATAATTCTCTTGGGTCACACATATAATACACTAACACTAATGATAGCTGATCAACAAAAAAACAAATAGCAAAAAAAACCAAAAAACCAAAAAAACAAAAAAAAACCTCATAATGTTTTAAGAAAGTTTACAAATTTGTGCTGAGTTTCATTCAAACCCCTTCTGAGCCACATGTGGCCTGCAGGCCACGGGTTGGACAAGCTTACTGGGACATGCGTTTATATAAGCACAACCTCAGCTGTAGCAATGGTTGAATTTACCATTCTAGCTAATAAGGAAGTAACACTTTCAAAACACATTATGCCATGTTTATTTTTGGTAGACAATACTGATTAGTACCAAATCAAATGGGCACCTTCCAAATGGAGAATATCATGGATCAATTATCCCTGTGTGGAGAGACAATTCAAAATCCAGATCAACACTTATATGTGCCCCCCATAAGACATGATTAGTGATTTGATGTAATTTGTGAAAACATTAAAATGTGAGTTTACTTCAGAACTTTTTCAGTGAACTAAGAAAATTCTGACTTAGAATTTTTCACTAGAGAATATTTTGAGGCTGAACTCGTTCAATTTACTTATTTGTTATTAAGTAACAGATTACTTAATTAAGTTAGTATTTTTATTTCAGGTTTTTAAATGTCTGTTAAAAATACAATTGATTTTGAATAGGGAGACTAATATGGATTAAAGGTAGACATTCTTAAATAATGGAGATAAGAGAATGAATACAAGTTTTTGAAGTGTTATGATTGAAGAATTTGTTATAATAATGAGTGACAATAAGACAGTTCCAAATCACTGCTTAAACATAGCATTGGGCTTTGTTTCTTAGAAATAAAGGATAGTTTACTTAAAAATGTATTATTTATTGTCCATAATACAAATTTAATTAAAGCATTTTCTTCTTTTAATAGACTAGAAGTAAACATCAGAACATATGACAATTCCATTCCAAGTAAGAATTTAGTTAATGAAGTTTAATTTTTCTTAGATTGGAAAATAATTTTAGGAACTAATGACTAGTGTATTCCAGTAAATGTGATAAAGCAGAAACTGCTATGAATTTTTGTAAAAATTTTATAAAAGCATGTATGCGTGATATTTGTATGTGTATGTTGGTTGGTGTATATGTGTGTGTATATTTCTGGCCTTGATGTAGATTTGCACTCACTGGTTTTGAAGAAAGATTTATTTAGTTTGCTCTGCTTCATAATACAAACCAATTTTACTTGTGTAAGATTCCCTTGTTTTTAGAATTCATAATTAAAGTAAAGAGGGCAAATATAGTCAGAGAGATGAAAATAGTTAATGAACAACCCATTTGTTAAACAGCTGCAACTTTAGGAACGTTTACTTTAATATACGGAGCTGAAATCTGCCTGCACTGTTATAACTATTACCTATTGGTTCTAGCCCACTCCTCAGGATACGTATAAAAGAAGTCTATAACATTGTGATTAAGAGCATGGGCTCTGGGCCCAAAGCACCTAGGTTCAAATCAACTCTGCTACTTACTAGCTTTACGATTTGGAGCAATTAATTTAACCTCTCCCCATCTCTGTGCTTTATTTTTCCACATCTGTAAAATGGAGACAATTATATTACCTAATTCAAAGCATTGTTATAGAGATTAAACAAGTTTACTAAAATGCTTAGAACACAGTCTGGCACATAGTAAACACTACACGAGTGTTAGTGGTTGCAGTTATGCTATTATTACTATGACTACTTTTCACCAATATAGCAGCTCTTTAAAAATCTAAATATAGTAACCATATCTCTGATTAGTTCTCTCCGTCCCCAAGAGAGCTATGTTGAGTTTCGTTACCAGTTCCACTTTTGACATAGTTTTCAGATAGTTTGATCTTCCTGATCACACTATTCTGGTTGTCCTCAAGTATGTATGTCCTTCTTTAAATAGAATCTCCAGAATGGAATGCAGTATTTCCACCTAGGGCCCTAATTCCTGCAGTTTGGGATGCCACTGAGGTCAAAGACGTCCTAAAAGAAACACTCAGATGTAACCAATCAAGACTTTTACTGACTGTTGTCAACATCGTGCTAGTTATTATGAAGACTATAGAAGAAATTTTATTGTCTGCAAACTAACTAAAGTGACATAAAGAAAAAAAAGCCAAGATAGAGGAGATGATGTAGATATTTTCAAGGAAACAGTAAATCTCTATTTTCTATTCCTACTGTCTGATTCTATTATTTTACCATCATGATTTAAGTATCTGTGAAAATTAGTTTAATGTAGAAAATAAAATTACAAATTTATTTTTAATAAAATTCAATGATAAATAAGAAAAATAGTTTTTATTTTCTCTGATTGCTATGCAAATAAAGTAGGAACTCTGAGAAAAAAATCTATATTTTAATTTATAACTTAGTTTAATTTAAATAATGTGTTTCTTTTTCAAGAATATTTCAGGTCTGTGGAACATCTGACATTAACTCCAAGTTGTTTATTATCCTTTCTCATTTAGTCAGTGAATCAAGCAGAAAATCATGGAATCAAAAACATTTTGCTTTGACATTTCCCAAACCACCCCAGAGAGGTACAAATGATAAATCAAGACTTTTGAAATCACAAATAACAGTTACTGTAAGTATGGAAAAAGTCATTTTTAAAAACAAAATCTAAGTTGTTAAAGCATTTATAAATATAAGACCTTTGTAACTTGACTTTTACTACCTGTTGGAAGATTTTTTTTTTTAATTTGTAATTTTCTGTACAACAGACTGCCCCTACTGCTTTAGATTAAGCTCATATTTCTACATAATTATCCACATCAAAGACATTATCTAAGCAAGCTGGAGAACCTAATACTGCACCTGGCAGGTTCTATCAGGCATGTTTACCAACTGCAAAAAGCAGTTAAAATTTATATATTAGAGCAGAAACTGATCTTGATGAGGTTTCAAGGTCTCCTTATTTTACAAAATATGAAATTCAGGAGACTCGATATTAAGAGATTCAAGTTTTCTACCGTTTCTCTAAAGTGGAGTTATCCTATCAATTAGCAAAAGGAAAAACAAGCATGTATAGATCACCTATTATGATATCAAGCAATTTTAAAGCATCTCCCAGAGCGAAGTTACAGTCAATGCATTTATTCGAGGGTAATTTATTACATCTGTAGTGATCCAACTTTCATGCTTCTCTTCAGGTTATCTTTTAATTCCATATTACCATTTGCTTGTTGGCACCTCTACTGAATAGTTGAGGGAAAATAAGAAGCAATTCTAAAATCAGTCTTTACGGTTATTTATGACAACTAACTAGATTTGGCAAATATTTGGGTGAGAGTTGAAAATAAATTACACCACTGCTGCACAAGTTAATGTGAATCAAGCATCTGTTTATTTCATTCAGTTTATGTCTTTGTTTCTTTTTGTGCGGTGCAGTTGGGGTCATAGAATCTCAATTTTACAAGGCACTTTAAAAGCAGGAGTAGAAATTAAGCTAGGGTTTTACAACTATTACAGGAACTGTCATGACAAACTTCAAGTGGATCAGTTTATTTCTGATTTAACTTGGGAATAGACAGTGTTCAGTTTTTTCCAAAAGATTCTCCCCATATAGAATTCCCAAAAGTCTACTGTTGGTTTTTGAGGACAAGTCCTGGAATGTCATAGATCACTGTGGGCCTGCTCTAATATCAATAAGAATCATTAATGGAATCACAAAATTCCCACTAAAGTCATTTTATTTCCAAAGTGGAGTTATCTCTCTCTTTCTGTCTCTCTCTTACACACACACACACACACACACACACACACACACACAACCTTGAAAGAGAGAAAAAAACCTAAGTTTAAACAGATGGTTAGTAAAAATATAAACTTTTTATGTTTCAATATAGAAAGATATAACTCATTCACAAATGTGTATTATTATTCTAACCAGTCTTTTCAGAGGCATGACCAAAGAAAACTAGAGGAAGGCCAGAAACCAGCTCATGGATGGATAAGGCATTCTTTAAGAAAAATTTTGCAACGACCACCTATTTACACAGCTGCCAGGGAACAGACTCCATTCAGACATCTTTATGCTTCCAAAACCCATCTTAAAAAAGCAGAATATAAGAACTCCAAAGATGAAAAAAGAGGAACACCTTTGAAGAAAGATTCCAAGAAAAAAGGAGGCTCATATGCAACAAATCCAGAATCCAAGCAAACAGTAGAAGATGAGAAAACTAAAAGACAAAACGAGGCAGATAAAACTCCCTTAAAATCATCACATGAAAATGAACCATCTAAGAAGTCAAAACCCAATTCAGAAACAAATCCAGAATCCCAAAATTCTAAGACAGTCTCAAAAAATTATTCACAAAAAGATAAGAAAGATTCAAAGAATTCCAAGAAGACGAACACTAAATTCATATATACAAAGAACAATCCAAAGAAAGATTTGAAGAGGTCAAGGACTAGTAATGATGCCATATCAGAGATTTGCTCAGAAAATAGTTTAAATGCTGATTTCCTCATGTTAGTGGGAGAGTCTGATGATGAATCCATACATTTTGATACATGCTTAAGGAATTATTCACAGAATAATTCAAAGAAGCCTGCAAAGAAGGACACAAAAAAGAGTGCAAAGAAAAGCTCTGATGCTGAATCTGAAGACTCAAAGGATGTTAAGAAAGATTCAAAGAAAGTTAAGAAAGATGCCAAGAAAGATGACAAGAAAAAGAATGTAAAGAAGGACACAGAGTCTACTGATGCTGAATCTGGAGACTCAAAGGATGCAAGGAAAGATACAAAGAAGGATAAGAAAAATTTAAAGAAAGATGACAGGAAAAAGGACACAAAGAATTACCCAGAGTCTACTGATACTGAATCAGGAGACGCAAAGGATGCAAACGAAGATTCAAGAAAGTCAAAGAAGGCTTCAAAGAAAGATGACAAGAAAAAGGATGCGAAGAAAAGTACAGTCTCTACTGATTCTGAATCTGAATTGGAGTCAAAGAAAAGTCAGAAAGATGAAAAAAAGTATAAAAAAGGTTCAAAGACAGATAATAAAAAGTCTGTCAAGAGTGATGAAGAATCTACTGATGCTGACTCTGAACCAAAAGGAGATTCAAAAAAGGGTAAAAAGGATGAAAAGAAGGGAAGGAAAGATTCAAAGAAAGATGACAGAAAGAAGGATGCAAAGAAAAATGCAGAATCTACTGAAACTGAATCTGATTTGGAGTTAAAGAAAGAAAAGAAAGACTCAAAGAAGGAAAGGAAAGGTTCAAAGAAAGATGTCAAGAAGGATGCAAGGAAGGACACAGAATCTACTGATGCTGAATTTGATGAATCTTCCAAGACAGGCTTTAAAACATCTACACAAATCAAAAGTTCAGATACTGAATCTGAAGAGGCACTATATAAACCTGGGGCTAAGAAGAAAATTGATGAATCGTATGGCATATCTGCAAATTCAAAGCTGGAAGGACTGGAATTAAGGAGAGGATTCAGAATGTCATCCAAAAAGACTACATTCAAGGAAAAAGGAGAAAAGGCAAGTATAGGTAGAGTTCCTCCATCAAGAGAAAGACCACCACTCCCTGCTTGTGAGCCTTCTCTACCATCACCAAAAGTCAAACGTCTTTGTCGGTGCAAGATGCCTCCTCCACCTCCAAAACCAAGATATGCTCCTTTGGTAAGTTTACTATTGTTTTATTTTTAGACTAAAATGGATATAAAATTTGAAAGACATTTTTAGAGTCTGAATTTCTGTTTTCTCCAAATAATAGTTATCTTTTACTAGAATATTGACAACTTTTTAACTCAAAGGTAAGAAAAATAAAGAGTACCTCACAAGGATGCAGAATATCGCAAAAAAGTTATAAATTTAAGAGAATAGAAATTATTTTGACTAGAGAAGACAGAAATGACTTGTGATTTAAGAAAACATGTGAAGTTATGTATAAAGAAGGTCATTTTGCAAAAAAAAGAAAGTGGTTAAGTTTTATGCTTGGAAAAGAACAAAAATGAAAATTGACTAAAACTTCTATAGGGGCAGATTTAAGCGAGATATAAAGACATTTCCTGAGAAGTTGATGAATACAGTAAAAGCTAGATTAACCAAAAGGCATACGTAGCAGGTGGAATACATGCCAAGATTCAGCTGTGCAAAAAAAAAAAAAAAAATATTATTTAATCCATATCTCAAGTGCAGTTTTTATGAGCCCTCATTATAACTGATATCAGGAAACAAAAGTTAACTTTTCAGAAATAAATATATCTTCTCTAATTTATAAGTCTCATGTTAACTTTGTCTATTTGGAGGTAAATACTCTGCCAACTTAAAGCTAATACTTCTCTCATCCAGGAGACTTTCCCTGCAATCCCTTCCCCAAATAGTCTGATTGTAAGGGAAAGCTTAAATAGACATCTTACATTAGACAGAGGAGTTCTGGATTAGTGCTTACACTGCTGATAAAGATATACCTGAGACTGAGCAATTTACAAAAGAAAGAGGTTTAATTGGACTCACAGTTCCATGTGTTTGGGGAGGCCTCACAATCACGGCAGAAGGCAAGGAGGAGCAAGTCACATCTTAGTTGGATGACAGCAGGCAAAGAGAGCTTGTGCAGAGAAGCTCATGTTTTTAAAACCATCAGATCTTTTGAGAATCTTCACTATCACAAGAACAGTGTAGGAAAGACCCGCCTCCATAATTCAATCACTTTCCACTGGGCTCCTCCCACAACATGTGTGAATTGTGGAGGTTACAATTCAAGATGAGATTTGGGTGGAGACACAGCCAAACCATATTAAGTCCCTATTCCACATGTTTCCTCCCTTTCTGTCTCTACAATTTTTGGTTGGGAGTAACTAATTTACATGATTTCTGGGCATCCACCTTTGTTTCCTATGCTTGCATGGTATTCATTGTTTATTCTAAGCATGGTAGGGCTGCTGCCCTCTGACCTTTTAAACTCAGGGCATCTGTAGATATGGCTAGTTCTTGACCCTAAGCTTCTCATTTTCATTAATTTCCTCCTCCCTTTCTTCTCCTCATTTCTCCTCCTTGTCACCTTCTTGTTCTTCTAACTCAGGAAATTTATATTTCCTCTTTTAGGCTCAGAGAGATCTATTTTATCTTATATTCCAAATATTTTCTATCTTTGGTTTATAATAAAACTTTACATACATACATCAATTTACTCCTTATATATTAATATTTTTTGGAAGATAAAAACACCTTGTATCACTCTCAGAAAGCCTGGGTTTCAAGTCTAGCTTTCTCCTAGAAGACCCCAAAACTCTGCTTTGAGACTCAGAGTTGATTAATGACCCCCTTGCTCTAGGTGATATATTCTCTCTCCACCAGACTGAGTTAATGAATGGCTAGCCACTAGTGTGACAATACTTATAAGAAATAAAAGTACACTGGGGAATAATTTTTAAGATAAATAAGAAGAAAGACTCTCAAATAGCTAGGCTCTTTTCCACAGGCAGTTTTTAGGAAAAGTAAGTAACATATAAGAAAAAAAATTGAGTACAAGGATTAATTTTAATTTTAAAAAACATCTTTCAGGATATGTTCTAGGCTTGTACAATTCATGCCAAGACTCTTTAATAAACTTCCATATGCATTCTCACCATTCAGTTAGGCTTTTCTATCTCTACTACTCCACTGAAACTTTTCCTTTAAAGATTACCAAATACCTTCTTGTGGCCATATCAACAGGCTTTTCCTCCCTCTTCAGGTTATTTCATAATTCAACAGCATTTAAACTAACCTCTCTGTCTGGAAATACTTGCATTACTTCACTTCTATGACTCTGTGCTCTCCTGTTTTTATTTCTACATGTGGTAGCTTTTAACCACCTTTATTGTATTCTTCTCTGCCTCATTATTAAAAATTGGAATGATCCTTTCTTTGTTCTGGACACTCTCTATTTACAATACTCCCTTTGTGAGTTTATAGTGTTGAATGGTTTTAAATATTATCTATGTATTGATGATTACAAAATTAATATCTCCAGTTATGACCTTCCCATTGAGCTCCAAAATCTCTCCAGCCACTTACTTGAAATCTCCACTATAGTATCTACTGGGCATCTCAAACTTAAAATGTTTAAATAATACTTTTAATCCCACACTAAGTTCTATTCCTCCCTTAGCCGCCTTCATCTTATCAGATGGCACCACCATCCAGCCAGTTGATTTTTTTAAGCCTGGACATAATATCTTTCTCACTTCTTTTTCTCACTCTCCACAGGTAATCAATCAGCAAGACTTGTTTACTCTACCTCCAAAATATATCCTGAATGAGTCCACTTTCCTTATCTCCATTACTACCACCTTCATTGCTCCAATCATCACCATCATTAGCATCTGGCTATCCATTAACTCATTATGTTGCCCAGGTTGGTCTTGAACTCCTGTGCTCAAGCAATCTTCCAGCCTTGTCTTCCCAAAGTGCTGAGATTGTAGGTGTAAGCCACCAAGTCTGGCAGAATAAAATTTCTTAGTCTAGCTTTCAGTGTCTACAATCTTTAGCCCGTACCCATTTTTCTCCATAACCATGTAGCACTTTTTGCTTTTTCTCTTGTCATCTAACCAAACTGGAATTATTTTTGTTTCTCATAAACACCAAGATTATTTTCTTGCTAAGCCTTTTCATGTGCTGTTTCCATTGATTAGAATGTTCCTCCCACAGATCTTTGCATGTCTATTCTTTTTCATTATTTAATTTTTCAGCTTAAGTGTTCTCTTTAGAGAAGCCTTCCCTGACTACATTACTTTATGTTACCCTCTCCTCCACCACTATCCAGTCACCCTCCAAACACTGTGTCATACATTATTTGGCTTCATTGAATTTATCTTTATATAAAATTATATTTTATTATTTTGTTTGTTAATTATGTTGGTCATCAGAATTCAGGTTCTATGCAGGCAGTGAATCTTGCCTGTTTTTTCATATATATACCAAATATATAATATATATATGAAAAAACAGGCAAGATTCACTGCCTGCATAGAACCTGAATTCTGATATATAATATATATTTGGTATATATGTAAATATAATATATATAATAATTATAATAATTATTATAATACAATAAATATATATATATATATCCACAGATTCAAAAACAGCACCTATGTTATATTTAGTTGGTTGAGAATTTAGTCCCTCTAAAGAGCTACATATCACAGTAGTCGAGATTCGGATATCCCTTTTTCCAAGCATTTTTACTCTAGATATGTCATTAAAACAAGTATTTTTTTAAGTTGGGGGAGTCACAAAAATGCACTTTACATTCTAATTGGATGTCTGGAAGAGAATACCTATGTATCCTGCTCAATTGTGTATGGGGAACTTATGAACAAACTTTGTTATTGAATCTTATGGAGTTTTCTCCTTTGTTTGTTTGTTTGTTTGTTTGTTTGTTTTTTAATATGGGCTTGAAGAATGATGGCTTTTCTCCTTTTCTCCTCCCCTGGAGTCCTAGTGATTCTCACAGCAGCACATAAGAACCACATAAGTAGTGCTGTGTTTCAGGGTCAGCACTGTTTACACTCCTGGATTTTCTACTAAAAAATACAAAAAATTAGCTGGGCGAGGTGGCGGGCGCCTGTAGTCCCAGCTACTGGGGAGGCTGAGGCAGGAGAATGGCGTGAACCCGGGAGGCGGAGCTTGCAGTGAGCTGAGATCCGGCCACTGCACTCCAGCCTGGGCGGCAGAGCGAGACTCCGTCTCAAAAAAAAAAAAAAAAAAAAAAAAAAAAAAGATTATTTACATTTTATATTATGTTTATAAATCTTAGCAATATTCTCAAACATAAGTGAAGAATTCTTTATATTCCAGCTGCTAAGGTAGAAAAGTAGGGTGTTATGTTTAGGGTGTTTTGATTTCCATTCTGTATGTGTATATATAATCTTCAACAAAAATACAAATACAAAAACAGAAACAATATAAAATATGTAAAGAAAAGCTAATCATTTAGATCCTTATGTCCACTTTCTGATGCCATATCTCCTTACTTTCTTATCTTCTTGAGGTAAACAATGTTAGCAGCCTGGGATCCATTTTTCTCTCTTACACCATTTCCTTGTATAAGCAAATGTAAGGAGGGAGAGAGAGAGAGAGAGAGACAATTACATAATTTGTTTTGACCAAAATACAATCATGCACATGTAGTAAAGTACAACTTATTTTCTCACTTGACAATACCATGGTCATCCATATAAGTCATTAGACATACATTTAATGTTATTGTTCTTATTTCCAACTTGCTTATGAAAACACACACAGAATTTTATCTGTCAATTCCACACATTCTGAATTTGTTTTCTTTACATCTTTTAAGTTTTTTATTTTTGCTTATCTCTCTACTCATTCCCACTTTCACCCCTCACTTTTTTCTCCTTTCTAGGTACCACTTACCAACAACTTACTATGTTTCATTCCATACTTCTCTCTAAGGTTCACTTTACCATATCAAACATTCAAATACACACAGACACATACACACACACAAACAAACACACACAGACACATACACACACACACACACAAACAAACACACACACACAGTGGTGGCATCTGGGAGCAGGAGAGAAAGTGTCTGACAGCTGGGAGAGGAGGAAGTGAGGTTTTCTTATTGTTTTATTTAAAAATAAAGAAATAATACATATTTC